TCTTCCCAGTTGCCAAATGGCCAAACAGTATGTGGAGGCTGGCTGTCATTCATCTACTGAGGAAAGAAGTTTTCCCAGGGTAGTAGTGAGGTGTCTCATCAGCTGCAGCTTTTTGCTCATCATCTCTCTGACCCTTTCTGCTTTAAAATCTCTGCTCAAGTCCACCCAGAGCTCTGTTTCTGTGGGGATGCTCCTCATTTTCTACCTGAAGGTTGAGAAATAAATTGTAAACTCAGGTGTGACCTACAAATAGGCAGGTCTTCCTATTTCTCTTGTTGAATTTGTCAAGTCCAGTGATTGGGATGTGACTAGTATTTAAGCAGGGGGAAATTTCACTCCTTTTCCCTTGTGAGTGAAAATTAGTTATTTTATATATTGAGGCACTAAATTACAAACTTTTTTGAATGGAGCTTATTTTTCTGCTGTTGCAGAGTGCTGTGCAAAGCAGCCACTTCTAGAACACAGCTCAGAAAGTCTAGTTTTACTTAAACAATTTTATTTTACTATGTGCATCATAGTTTATGTACGGTGACAATTGCTCCTTGCCATATGAACTTTGGGATTGCTGTGCTGAGCAAAATTTGCACGGTTTTCTTCTAAACACCTTTCTTAGCATAACTCATTACTCACAGTGTGCCGCTGTAATTTATAGATGGCTGTGCCTCAAGGAATGAAATGACCTCTGTCACTATCGCATAAATAAGGCTTAGGAATGCCAGGATTTTCATATCAGATGGAGTAGGCTTCTTCCAGCGTTTATATAGAAGTAGCGGTATGTTATAGATTTATTTAAGGCTGCAATAGTTTTTTGAACATTATGCTGCCAACAGTAGTGTCTGAAATAACAAAATTGGAGCCCAAAGATGGGAGAGAAAAGCACACATGATGGCTATTAAAAAAACAACTGTCTGTTTAGTCAATACAAGTTCAGAACTGTTGGCTGGTAAATCTCAACTCTTCTCTAACATTTGACTGCGTATTAAAATATATCAATAGATGTTCTATTATGTGACTAACCTATTACTTGGAGACTTTCTGACAGGTAAAAAAATAGTGTAGATATCAATCACCTAAAAAGTGATTAAAAAAAATCTTTTTCTTGGCTGTAGTTTTTGATCAAGAAATGAAGAGAGAAGATGCTGATTTCAGGCTATAAAAGCATTGAGGTCAAATTCATGCTATGTGCAGGTATATGAAAAGTAGGTTAAACAAAAGCAAGCAGTTTTCAAAACCCTGTAAATTCTGCATCATGGAGGACATATTCTGCTCTGAATGCCACCCGTGTGTCCTGGTGGTGTGCAGCCACGGGGATGCTACCGCTGGTCTGTGCATGGAGAAGGGGAAAGAGAACTGGAAAGTGCCCTCAATTCATTATGTCCTCTCTAATATGGCTTTTTTCAGTGGGGATCTGGCCTCCCTTTAAAGCTGCCTGAGAAAAAAGCCTTCCACCTGCATCTTTCCTGGGCAAGTGGAAGGTTACAAACTGCCTCTGTGCAGCTGATTTTGGTCCCTGGGGTCTGACTCTCCTTTTAGCAGCATGACCTTTGCTTTGCGGTAGCCCTACCAGCACTTACTAAGTTGCTTCAGGTTTACACCACTGAAGGTGCAAGGAGAGTCTGCTCCTTTATGACTCTTACTAGACACCCAGAGTGGGATGGCAAACACGGCGAAATGCTTTTTTAAATCTTTATTATGTAAAACTGAATTCCCAGTTACAGCTGAGGCTTCATTGTTTGGTTTTCAGCAGCGATGATTTATGGATAATTATAATTAGGGAAATAAGCCATGAAGACCTTTAAAAAAAATCTAGCAAGGAAAAGAACATTTTAGTCTCACTAAACCCACTAAATTAAACATGTGGGTTTCAGCAGAGGACAAGGAAGGGCTTACTGAAAACTTAATATAATAAAAATGTTCTTATAAAGATTTGGTGATGCTACTAGTTAACAGAACTATATTTTCTCTGAATCCCTCAGGACTGTTAAAACTAGATTTGAAGTGATCGCAAGTGAAATTATTTTGATGAAAATATCTCTTCATAACACAAACATGTCTTAAACTGCCAGAATTGTTTGCCTCGTTACAATATAAGTGAGGGCAGCATCAGTCCGATTCTGAACTCAGGAGGCATAATTACAAGGAGAAATGAGAAAAAACTATCTGGATTGTGCTACCATTATAAATGACTCATCCTTTTAAGAACTGGAAAAAGCTTATTCACATTTCTTAAATATCTTTAATATCTCAAAGAAGAGCTGCAAAATGCCAAGACTATTTCCAACCTGCTTTTAACACAAGGCCATTATCCCTGTTTATTCTTTCAGTTTGTTGTAGCATCACTAATGGCTCTCTGTCTATAAAAGTTATGAACCTAATTTAACTTTAGAAGTCTTGTTTCTGTAGCATGAAAGGCCGTGAATTCATACACAAGTCAATTTTTTTTCACATCTTGTATTGGCTTCTGTTTTGTTGTTGTTGTTGAAACGAGATCAGTGTTGCTATGTAAGCCGTCAAATATACTTCTTAAAGATTGTTTTGTAATGAACTCTATCTTTCAGTATGCTATTGAACCAAGAATTTGGAATCAGAGAGGCAGAACACCATGAAAAAGACCATAAAATAAACCTCCCTCTCTTTTAAAATGTACCGTCCTTCTTTTCTGTGAAAAGATGTTATTGTGTCTCTGGTCCATGAGTATAAAAATTACTGAGTGCGTATAACTGAGTCTGCCTCTACTGCAAATTCTCACTGCGGCAAGATACAGAAATGCTAAGCAAAAATTGGCTCAGGCACATGTACCTACTACTCATACCAACTTCATGGCATTCAAACTCTAATGTAAGGGCAAATATTCAAGTTGCTTTAGAAAATAGTAAAACGGATAGCTTCAGTGAACTCACTGCAATTCAAAGAAACGTTACAGGCCCTGAAGCTGGTACATGCTATTTAATAATCTGGCTGTGCAACAGTTTGAGTGTTTTTTTCTGCAGTAGTTGTAAGTGTAAAGAATGAGGAGCAGCACTAATAAAAACACAACAAAGATTTAAGAAAAGGATTTGATCCCCCCTGAGCGCTTGAACTGCTTTGCTGAAGGCAGGGTGGCGTTACCGTGTCTCCCAATTTGAGATTCACACCGTTCATCTCGACGTAGGAAAATGACTGCAGGGTGGTGTCACGCTGAATCTGCTCTTTCTTGGCAGGGTTGGACAGGCGCGACCAGACCACCACGTACCGCAGCGGCGGCTTTGAGGAGGGGCGGCAGTAAGTGCACTTCAGATGGACACGTCCTTGCACAAGCGCGGGAGTTACCACTGGTTGCAAAGCCAGGCTTGTGAGTTTGTCTGGAAAAAGGAAACAAAAGACGGATGTAGCACAAAACGTTATTTTAATATTATAATTGTTCACTCAACAAGAAGATTTCAATATAACCAAATATGGGAAAAATGCTACATTTTATATTCTTGTGATTTGATTATTAACTATGTAAGTAAGAAAATGTATTTCATACGAAAAGCAAAAATTGGTAAATGTGTACTGACTACTCATTGTTAAAATATTTGACCTGTGGTTTTTTTGTGGTTTGTTTGGTTTTTTTTATATTCTGCAGTAAGAGGAATGTTATTGAAATGAAGCACTCAGATTAATACAAATTAATTACTCTAGCAAAGGCCATCAGCTTTGCATTCCCCTGAAGCACAGCCTTTTGATCCAAGTTTTGCAATAAGTACAGAAAAGATATGAGAAACAATTATGTTGCAGAGGTAAACTGACTCTCAGAGAGCACCCAGCCCATATTGCCATGCTCTGAAGATACGTTCCAGGCTGTTCTGGGACGTACATAGGCTAGGTCTGCTCAATATAGTCTCCTTCTGCCCAGAATAATGCCACTGCTCTAAAAATACAGCCTGCTTTCTGTAGGCTTCAACAAGTAATGAAGTCTGAAACTTTTCTTCCTGTTAAACTCACCTAGAAAGTAGAAACAAAAAGATGTATAATACTGTAGGGTGATGTTCTTTCATCTCTAGAGACTCGGACTCAAACAGAATGTGAAGCTGGTTCAGATGCTTTGAAAGGATAAATTAAGTACCTTTTTTTGAGGAGTGTAGAAAATATTACGGAAGCCCAAGAGAATAAGGTATGAGGCTGTTATAGCAGAGTGAAGAACCAATATATTAACATCTGTCCAGGGCAAATAACAAGAAGTAAGAAAAAGAAACAAGTTACTTAAAATATGAATAAAGGCCAGTTGTTTATATCTTTTTCTCTATTGTTTCTAAGGGAAGCTGCCTCAAACTGTGGCTCACATCATGACCTTCTGCAGGAAATGACTCCAGAAGGACAAAGTTAGGTGATCAGCTCATGGGAGGATGTGAGCAGAATTACAAGCTCATAATGCTGCTTTTCCCAGCTGTGTCCTTTCTGCCAAGCTATGAAGCTTTAAATTCGTTTTGTTTTGCAGCTAAGAAGTGCTGACCGGCGTTCTGTTCCCGAGGTTCCAGCGGATGGGGCTGGGGGATTGACCCCAGCAAGAAGCCGTGACGGTGCCAGCTGGACCCGGCTCTGGGGCTGCATAGGGGCTCCTGTGGTGCAATGGTCACAGCTGAATTTAAGACACTGAGTTAACAACATCCAATAAAAACTTTCAGCTTCGGGTGTTTTCCACCCCATACATGATACTGCAAAAACATCCTAAAGACAAGAAGTTAAAAGACTTGGGAGAGCTGGACCTCACTGAAATGCCTAGGAAAAAGGTGAAAGCTTCAACAGTAGCAGTAAGAAAAAGGCAGCAGGTTGTTGGTTTGGGATAGATGGGAAATGATAAGCTTTCTTTTATGAAAAATGCCATCAGATTTACATCACTAAACAGGTATGGATTAACAGAAAGGACAAAATTAATCACCCAAAAGGTATTGGTAAAAAATTCTTCAAACAAGAGTATTGGAAACCTTATGGTTTAAAAAAAGCCAAGCTTGAACTGGAAAATGACTGTATTCAGTTAAAAAGTAATCTCTGAGAAAGTATAATGGAAATTAAAGAGCAGTTTCATTTATTTTAACGGATATTTTTTATTTCAAATAGTGACTTAGTCTCACTTCCTTTGAGCTTTTTTCCCTCCCTCTTCTTCATGTAGGAATGTTAAAATATTGATAAAGATAAGAAAATAGATCTCTCTCTCTTTAAAATTTATTTAAGCTTGAATTTCGCCTGATTGAAAGGTGTTAACCCTAGTTTCTCAGTGTGTCATGTCTCTGTTGAAAACGCCGAAAAGGAAGTATAAAGGTAATTTTTTTCTTTTGAGAAAGAGCTGTCTTTTCTGACTAAATCTATATGCACCAGAACATGCTCTGAAGTTCAGAAGGTTTAACTGAGTGAGCAATTGCTTTCTGCTATTCCTTTGTTTCCTAGCTACCGAACAGAGGTTAGATCTCTTGTAGTAGGCTGAAAATTATTTCTGACGAGAGTAATTATATAAATGTCACGAAAAAGATGTTATCAGTTTTGGGGTTTTTTTTCCTTCCAGAGTTTCGAATTATCTTTTTTTTTGGGAATACTGGATTACTGAAGATAAGAACAGAACTTAGATGCAGCATCCTGGATACATTGCCTCAATAAAACTGAGATGCCTCTGTTCACTAACTGTGTGCCTTCAAGCCAAGGTGGAGCCGAAGAGGGTACGAAAGGTTACGTGTGTACTGTAGCCAAGCAAAGAACACTTCAGTAATACACACCAGATTATATTTTGCACTGCTAACAGTAGCTATTCCTCAGCAACACCCTGGACGGCTGCTGATTTATTTTCTACATGGTCTGCATCTTACTGGGAGCGATGCTTGACTCGCAAGGTCACCGAGATGTGCATTGCAATACCAGGACCTTTGAACACACAACCAGAGAGACATATGCAATCTTATTGATAAATACTTTACTGATCCTCACCTTCCGCGCAGTAGCCCATGCATCCTTGAGTAGGCTGCAGGAGATACACAAAGAATTCACCGCAGTTCCTGACGGCGATGGGTATCCGAAACAAGCAGCAGTCCTTGGTGCCCCCAGAGAAGACCTGCCAGGTAGCACAGGCTGTGAGCCGCTTGCTCTCACCGGGAGCTGGCAGGGATTCCGACTTCAGCGACAGCCACACCGGAGCTTGTGTCCCACATTTATTCATCTGAGGATGCACACAAAAGAAACTTTTTACAGCAAATGCAGTAGGGCTCTGCGGAGAATCACTAAAACCTAAGACTTCGAGTATGGTGAACTTGGAGGGTCAGTGAAAAAGCTGTGTAGGTGGGCATGAAAATGTCTTGCTCAGTTTAGAGAGGTGACTTCACACAGATAAAATTCTCAAAGAACACAAGAACTGGTTTCCAAAGTATTTTCCTCTATTTTTGGTTGGTTTGCATAAAAAAGATGAAAGCATGTAAACAGGCTAGGTCCTTGCTCTGGGAAGCACACTTTGGACCACATCAGCTGGCCATTCTCATCCACGTTTCATCTGTGGTAGAAGAAAGCAAAGGCTGACAGAGCACGGGGTGCAAGAAGACGTTAGGTCCACCTCGAAGCAGGACACCGCTATGCTCAGAGCATCACACACCAGCACCCTCCTCCAAAACAGCTGCAACTTCAGCTGCCATTGTCCTTGTCCTTGTCATTGTCCTGACAGCTTCTGCCCAACCCCTCCAGCACGTACCGGACACGTCTTTGGGGCCCGAGCCTCTCCCTCCAATCTTGAAGGGAAATACAAATGCAGGATATACATGATTTGATCAAATTCTCTGGGGTTTTTGACCTTCAGGTTTCTATCTATTAACAGCTTCCACTAAATCCCTGAATCCCCTGGACGTGGCTTAAACTACAGTGTTCTGAGTCATGGCTCGGAGAGGCTGCACCAGATTTACCTTTTCCAACTTAAGGATGGGAAAGGATCATCTCAGACCTGAATTGCTCTCTGTACCTGCCAGGCTCTTCCCACTGAGTAAAGGGACATGATTATTCAAAGACATCATTAATTTAAGCACCTCAGTGATGAGATTAAGCACAATCTGAGCCTAATAAAATACACACAGCCAATTACAATGGTAACTTCTTATTCTGCACCATCACCTATCATTTGCCAACATGCAAAGCGTACGGATATTTGAGTTAAGGTTTGAAAATTATTACCAAATACTGACAATAATTTACTCTCAGATATCGGTCATATTCTGCAGAGCGTGACTGCTGCCGTTGCTTTGCATTTCGTCAGCCAGCGATAGTGAACTCTCTCGAATAGTCCCGCTCCAGGGGCACACCTGCCCCTCATGCTATATACATTTGGCTATAGATCATGTTAGAAAACCCCACCATTGTTTCCCATTGGCTTGGGTTTGCTGCTTCAGTTTTCGAGATCAAAAGTTGCTTGTGACAGGAGGGGAAGCAGTGAAAGGCAAAGGATAAATTTATTATGTCATGCGCCAGTGCCCTCCTGTAGTTTGAATTTTACCTGGGAGCTATACAAGCCAGAAAGCGGGGGCAGGGGAACAGGGGCTGCACACCTGGTAAAAGAAAAGTATTTGAAAAAAATAAAGCATATGGCGTGACACGGTCTGATTTCCATTTGAAGCTCGTTATTGTCAGGCTTCTAAAACAAGCATTCCAGAGAGACACCATTAAAATTGTCCAAAGTCTTTTTTCCCCCCAGAAATGCGGCGGTGGCCGAGCAGAGGGGCTGACCCTGCCCTCCGGTTTGGGTCCCCGTGTCCCCGGTGTCCCCCACAGAAGGAACTCGCCCAGTGCAGCAGGTCCCCGGGGAGGAGCAGCATGCCGGCGGTGTGCTAGCAAAGGAGAAGGGGAGTTCAGCATGAAAACACTTTTATGAGGAATTTTAGATTAATCCCTTCCTTTATTTAAAAGCCATGTCGTGTGTAACTTTTAAAGAGATTTGTTCTGTTTACTTCCAGCTGTAAGGGGCACTGCTGCTTTCTGTGCTGGGAAAAATGTGGATGTCGGGAATTCAGTGTATCCTGGTGAACTTCTGACCTAGAGAATGGGATCTAATGTGAAGTAGCAGGTTTCCAAAGCACATTTTATGAGCATACACCTGTAACGACACAGGAGAGTGGAACGAACATCATCCAGAGAAGATGTGCTGTATGCAGAGGAAGAAGGACGGGTGCAGAGAGAAGGACAGCAACTGGAGCTCAGTGGTTTCTGCTTCATGCTCATGTTATCTTCTTGGTGAGATACTTGCACGATGAATTTCCTCTTACTCCAGCTAACCGGTAACCTCAGCGCCTCTGCATGTGTACGTAAAGATGGTTGGAATGAATAAAAATTTTTTAAATCTATGGAGATATTTGTGAGTGTTTTGAGCCCCACAAGCTGAGCGGAATGAGAGCAGGAGGGTGCAGAGCAGCGGAGATGAACGAGTGCTGGAGCTCAGTGGGTGTGTGCAAGCTTGCAGAAAGCCTTGAAGGAAAATGTTTTAGTAAGGAGACGCAGCGCAGCCTACCCATCCCTCCCAGGACTTCCCTGCAGAGCAGATGGCTGTCTCTGCACCCCATGAGGCTTCGTGCTCCCGCTGACCCCATCGCTGGCACCAGCGCTTGCTGCCCAAGGAGGAGGAGGAGGGATGCCGACACCGCTCATGCCATGGGAAGCAGTCCCAGTGCTGCTAACACCCACTACAAAGGGCTGTTACCACCATTTACTGATATTCAGCTGCTGAAACGTGACCTTCATTGTTTTGAGGCAACTCGATCTCATGTAAATACCCGTGTCTCAAGGAATATTTGCACCCACAGCTGAACAAATTGAAAAAAATACTCTAACGGTTTATTGTAGAAGACCTTTCGCTGCTTGAGATGAGCTGCTGTATCCGTTCGCTTTTGCCTTTACCGGTGTAACCGGCCCCAAAAGGACAGCACTGCTCCACGGGGAGCGCGGCCACCCCTGGCCGGGCATGCGCGGTGCCTCGGTTTCCCTGACCTTGGGCACTCACTCTTTGTGCACCCTGCTTCCTTATCTCTAAACCAAAGGTGGAGGTGGCTGAGATGGTAATAGTACTTCTCTGCCTTGCAGCAGTGCTGAAAAGATAAATTCATTAATGAGGCACCCACCTATCTGCTGTGCTGCGGACCATGCAGATAAATAGACAGATGCAAATGCATTCTGGCTGTGAAAAAAGACAAAATGTGATCCGTACGTGAAAGTGGGTCTATATCTCCTGTTAACACATAGAGGGGAAAAAATAAAACACTGAAATAAGAGGACGGTGATTTTCTGCCTTTTTGTATTTATCCTCACCATAAGTCTGTCAGCCACTTCAGTGCTCCAAAAAGTACGGGTTAGCACCGCTGGCGTCAGCCGCGCGCGTTGTGTGCGGGCCTTCTGATAACCCCCCGCTGTGATCTGCGGCACCCTGGATTTGTTCTGGCAAACCTTGCACTGAAACCGTTTGAGCAAAATAGTTCATTATGTAACGTGCACAAATTATAAGCAATAATGAACCCTTTTGACTGACTTTGCACCTGGGAAAAGTCAGACAGTGAGAAGGCAAGTTCTTGTAACAAACTATGATGTAGTGTTACAGGCTGTGAGGAAGAATTTTGGTATAAATCAAATATTTCTGTTTTCCTGGCAGCTTTATGACACACATGAATTTTTTTTCTGCTTTGAGCTACACGCTGTCCCTCTGAGTCAGGTAAGTTGCCCCATGCTAGCCAAAAGGATTTGCTGCGTGAGGCCTCTGTGAATTAGAAAACAGGACTGGGAAGGCAAGGGCAAATGTATATTCATGTATTCAACCAGCAGTACAGATAAGAACAGAAAAGAAAAAAAATTTTAAAAAGTCTAGGAGAATAGACTTCAAAGAGCCAAAATTTTTCAAGTCCCAGCTGTGGCATAATTAGCATTAAATATTGTAGCAGTCATTTGGGAGAGTAACCAGAAAATCGAATACAGAGGTAGTGAAGGACTGGCACTTAAGACACAGCACTTTCCTGCAATAACTACAGTCATTGCTGCTCTAAGAATAGCGTAAAGCTGTGGGAATCTCACGCCATAATTCAGCAGCATTTCCAAAACGAAGAAGAGGAATTATACAGCTGCGGCCCGAGACGAGCGAACTCCGAAAGCCTCTCGCGGGCGGGAGCTCCTCTGCTGGGACGCCGGCGGTGAGGGTCAGGCCGGGGCTTTGCTGGGGTTCCCCAGGAGAGCTGCGTGCCGCGGGCTGCACGGCAACACCGGTGCAGAATCAGCCTTTCTCACTCAAAATGGAAGCTGCGCAGCAGGAAGGACAATCGGTTACAACACCAGCCACACCGGTAACCAAGTGTGTGACCACAGCCCATCCACTTATTTCTGAGAGAATCGGCAGGTCTAGTGAGAAACAATCTCCCTCCCCACAGATCCTGTCCCTCCTGTATGTCTTAAACGGTGCCCTGCAGCGCGTGGCGGATTTACACCCCGGGTAAGGGATCACGTGCGTTTGATTGCTTCAGCTGACACGTTTACTTGGGCTTGCAGCTGGTCAATGTAATGACAAGTCGGGGAAGTAAACTATGCTGTTGTAAATCCTAAATTTGTGTCGTCCGGTGCATCTGTATCATGTACCCAGAGACACAGCTTGCACAAAGGACGACATATCTAACACAAAGTCTTGGGTTTGCGTGTCAGGGTCTGGCAGTGGGCGGGCTGCAGGGGTGGCTTCTGTGA